TTTATTAGGCCCTGCTGTTTATTGTATGTTTTGTTCCTTGGCTGAAGTGAGCTCTGGTTTGTTTTTTGAAATGGAATCTTCAAATTTAATTTTGCCTTGGCCCACGTGCAGGTTCCGTGATGCGTTCCTGACCCTGGCAGCAAAAATGATAACCAGTTTTTTACGTTTGTTTTTTTTATCCAGAGACGACTCTTATGGCCAATGAACAGGAAAGTGTCCAACGCGAGCGCAGGAACTCGATTTTGTGCTCCACATTATAGTAACATAAATAAGTCCAAGAGGGAAAAAGTACAAAGCAAAATGAGTTGTTAAAATAATATAAAATACAAGCCATTTAAATCCAGTAGGTGCAATGATCTTATAAATAAAAATGAAAGATATCGTGCTCCTGAAAACCCCACGATTCCAATGATATTTTATATTAAGCTGAAACGGTAATGGGAGTGCCTTATCGATCAGAAAATTTTCAGGAAAAGTAAACATCAGCTGGCGGAACATCGTAGCTAACCTTGCGCGCGTAACTGGTTTTGTTTGCAGTTGTAAATAAGAAGTTCCAACGTCTCCTTTGCCCGTCTAAACTAACGTTCTGCGATTTTACCACCTCGCGCTGCATGCATGTAAAGACGATTTATCCGTGCGACGATTCAATTGTATTCCATGAAAATTGGATAGTCGTTTCCCAAGTTCTCATGCACCGTATCAAGGCCGTGGACTATGCTCGTGCGAAGGAACTTCAGGAAGACTTTATCTTTTGTTTGGCTTGAAGTGCAGATTGATTGAGTTCAGTATTAATTCTGTATAATTAGAATCTCATAACCTCAAATGTATGTAGCTTACAGCAGTTCAAATGAACTCCATTTTATTTAGGAAGCTACAGGATTCTTCACTTCTGACGTCGCTTATTATCTTGCTGGGTAATTAAGAGTGACACACATACGTAACACCTTTTCGTGTCTTTATTCTGAGATGCTTGTTTAAAGATGCTTTGCTTTCGAGGCCAAGATAGCTTGATGGTTCAAGTGGTATCGTTGGTGAAAATTTAAAAGAGAAGTTTATCGATACGAGGAGAAATTAGTGTTGATTTCGTGGGAAATGTGTCGATGGCGACAGTGGTGCAACATAGCTTCACGAGGCCCCAAGGCAAAGTTTAATTTACTGAATGAAACGAGTACATGATATTTTTAGATTCAATTTTACTTGTACTGAGGTTCTGAAAAAATGCTTTCTATTGCAAATCTTATCCATCGGGTGGTTAGTTTTATTAAAACTCCTTAATTAAATTCTCGCTAATATTATATTCAACTTCATTTATACTGAAGTTTCACAAAACATCTACAAAGAAAACCTCCAACAAAATTAAAAACGCAGATAGTCAGTTTTATTCAAGTTCGTTAAATAGTATTGATTTTTCTTTATTTAAATTTAGTAATTTAATTCGTAACCGTCGTGTGCAATTTCACTCTTGCCTACATCGTGCACGAATGATACAGGCGAGTCTTTGAAAGCATCGATTTTAGGTGGTCCCCCTTTTAATCGGGGCCCCCGGGCAGATGTCTCGTTTGGATGTAGGATATTACGCCACTGGGTGATGATGTTCATCGCGTTTTCTCCCCGATACAAGTTTCGCGTCTTGAAAGATGCTTATGCGCGTATCCGAGGAATCGAGAACGGGAAGTTGCGGCGATTTCCCATCGACTCATGACTCGTTTGGCTCAGGGTGGGGATAACCGATCGGCAGATTTATATACAAGGGGCACCCATCGTCTCGAACAGATTGGTCGCGAACCCTGAATTCGAGCGATCGTGGTCCTGCGTGAAAATAACATATACGAAACCCTGTGAGACTTTATCTTATTATCAAAACATCATGGTGAGTGACTTCTATGTTTACGAATAAAATATTTCGGATTAAACAACTTAGATTTCAAGGGGATACTTAAAGTCAGGGACTAAAAGTCAATTTTTTATAATAATATATTAGTTATCCATTTAAATTCATTGTGGAATAGCGTAAGCACTGCTGTCTTCACTATACATTTTGCGGATACTCTTTACATGCACGATGTAGGCAAGAGTATGCGAAAGAAGATATCTATACAGAGGGAGTCAATGTATTTTCGATTAAAAACCGGTTCTCGCATCAATGGCATCATATTTTCTAACCGAGCTCCCGCAGTTCTTTATAAATAGCCTTTGTTCATTGCTTGAGTTACTATTAGGTATCATTTAAATAGTTGCGGTTTATGTACAACTTCATTGAAAATTACTAACAATGCGTACTGAAGATCAGGCACCTGAATTTACAGTAAATACCGCCAGAGGGTAATCGACGTTAACCTCTTGAAGAATTTATATTATCTTCGATCTAATACACACAAATGAATTTTTATCTGTAAATTTTGCCATACAAATATGCTCTCTCATTTTGCCAGTGCAATAGATGAATCAACAACTAATCACTTTAATAAATCAAGCTCAAGCAGCCTCCCTTTAATACTACATACTCTTTAATTCTAAAAAGTATCGAACCGTGAATAATGGCTTTTAATCATTCCATCGAGTTTTTAGTTTTTAATTCTTTTAATTTAAATTTGTTATTTTAAAAAGTATCGGAACCGTGAATAATGGCTTTTAATCATTCCATCGAGTTTTTAGTTTTTAATTCTTTTAATTCAAATTTTTTATTTTAAAAAGTATCGAACCGTGAATAATGGCTTTTAATCATTCCATCGAGTTTTTAGTTTTTAATTCTTTTAATTTAAATTTTTTATTTTAAAAAGTATCGAACCGTGAATAATGGCTTTTAATCATTCCATCAAGTTTTTAGTTTTTAATTCTTTTAATTCAAATTTTTTATTTTAAAAAGTATCGTAACCGTGAATAACGACTTTTAATCGTTCCATCAACCGAATCGATCGTGATTTAACCTTGCAGATCAAGTACGTCGCAGTTTTGTTCGCCATCTTCTGCCTGGTGCAGTCTCAGAGGCCACCTTACGCGGGGAGTCCCAATCGCTATCCTCAGGTTCTTCCCCAATATCTCGACGAACGAACGACAACAGTTGCCGAATCGCTAGCGAATCGACTGGGTGAAAACGATAGCACTTCCGTGACGACCACCGCCATGCCCACGTCGACGATTCCGATCGACTTGCCAGTGGACGCAATGGGTGATATCGATTTGATAAACCGAATAAAGACCTGGCCAAAGGAGAAGCAACCTTTCTGGTTCCTCAACTGGCAAGCGATCCAGGAACACCGCGGTGACACGAGGCACAAACCCCAAGCTGCTCAAGTAGAGCCCCAGGCGAGATCGTACTTTAGGGGATATTAGCATACAATGATAAATCGTTCATTTTTTTCCCCGTTACAAATTCAATGCTAGACGACTGCAACGCCGTCTTCCTTCTGCTAGTCACATTCCATACTTTCGCAAGATGCGACCGTATCGATGAGATCTACTGTATCGACACAGGATTAACGTCCTATGACATAAGATAACTGTGAAAAAATATATGATACTTTTTACAAAAGTATGTATCCCCAGTGTGTTTGCATGAATTAGGTAGCTTGTAGGACGCAGGACCTATTAGTGTTGTTTTTTTTTTATTTTTTAATGGAATGTAAAGCGCAGGGAGAAAAATAAGCGACCAACAGAGAGAGAGAGGAAGAGAATTTTTTTCCAATATCATATGAGGAATAAAACCACCCGTAGGTCGTTTGCTATGTGTCAGTTTTTATAATGCCAACGTGAAATGTAATTCCATTTTATGAATGAAATTGCCATTTTTATAGAACAAGTTACAGGTGATATGTGTTTTATTTTTCTTTCATTATTCGCGATTGTTCCCAGTCAGAACATTTTACGTTTTCTAAAAGAACACGCGAAGAGTTTCAGGACTTATTCATGGATTGATATCTTTATTAATGATTCAAGATTTCCACGAAATCTAACATAAACAAAGATTGTTTTCTCCTGATTGCTAAAGTTTAATTTATGGATGAATTATTCGTGTGGAGCAAGTTTCGGGCGTGCTCGACGAAATCAAATTTCAAATTTTGAATCCACCTGCTGAGCAACGTGCGATCGCCAATAAGACGCTTAGACGGGTCGGCAGGGGGGCAAAAATCCACGACGCCTGATTGGATCGCCGAGCAAGTTGCGCACGGGTAAGTCGACTGTAGATTGGTGACGTCACGAGAAATCGTCCAATGCAGTCGCAGGAATCTCCAGTAATAACCGTACGTGCGTGCCGTACGCCGAAGCGTGTTATTCGTACTCGGGCGTACAAACGAGAAAGAGGCACTACAGAGAATCTCCCGGTGTCCGTGAAAGATGTTTCCCGACAGAGGCATGCCAGACGGGATCCGCGTTCGATAAGCTCTTTCCCCATTTACAACAGGGAATAATCACGTATCTATTGCGAGCTCAATGTATTCGAGGTATCGACGTGTCGAAGGAAAGGCAGATTGCACGCGACCCGCCGCCGTACCTGACAGTCCACGCGGCCCAAACACTTTCGCCTCGCTATATACAACACGAGAATTCGCATCGTGTTTCATTCACAACGCGAGCGCCACTGGCAATGTCGGGAAGTGACAGTCCAACATTCTTTCACGGCCAGCCCTGGTCCAGCTGGATAGAAAGAATCGGACGAGACAAGCCGTTGAGTAAGTGCGCTGATTCACATCGAAAAAGCTCGTTCGTTCGTTCGCTGTCGCTGCACGGAAATGCGACAACGACGAGCGTCCCAGCTCCCGTGTACCTAACCTCAACTTCGATGCTCCTTTGTCCGTCGACTTGACGCACGGGCATCACGTTAGGGGCCCCCCTCGCACGCATTTATTTAAAAAATTGTCACCCAACGATCGCCCGACCGCGTGCATCGCGTTTTTGACATTTCGTCGGAACACCGAGCGCGTTTTCGCGATCATTTTCCCTGACAATTATGTAATTCGTAACGAATACCGTCCCGTGAAATACACGGAGCGTCGAATGGTAGCGTTTAGCCGTGTAGCGTGGTTCGTTTTTAGGAGCTCGTTAAATCATTACCGATTGAACGTACTCTGAGATACTTCTGCTCTGATTATTAAACGTATAGGATGATTAATTTGTGGACTTTCTACAGGAATACACTGTTTTCATTTATCAATGTACTGAAATCTTATAACGCCACGTTTCGTCCAGCAATTTTTCGGGGCCCCTTCCAAAACAGAGGCAAACTTTTATAAGAATGTTGCCAATGTATTGTAATTAAATTGAGATGTTTATTAAATTTTAATTCGATTTTAATGAGTTATTCTGCTCTTCAAAATGTTGTTTATCTTTCATTTAAGAATGTAGAACAGTAGTTTGTGTTTGAATTTTATATTTAGATGAGACCTCTGCCCATCTTTGTGTAGGAAACTTTAGTGTGAGAATAATGGAAATGTATAATTTGAAGTAGAATATAAAAATATAGAGTGCATTGAAAAAATGGATTTCTTGTACTACAAATATTTTTAATTACATATATTTATTATTTTCAAACCACAGTTATGAAAGAAAACATCAGGTTGTCATAATATTTTACTTTGCTGACAAATGGAAATGAAAATATTATTCTGAAAAATCTAATAATTACTTTTCCTTACACAATATTATCGATGACTACATATTTGAGCAAGAAATAATTGTTATTTTTTAAAACATTCGTATCTGTTATCTTTCTCTTTCCTCTCGTACAAAACTCTGTTGGAAGATTGTGCATGTACAATATGTAACCATAATAAAAGCTGTTTACCCAAAAGTTTGTGTTCTTTTATTTCTCATTCTATTTTTGAAACCAATAGAGATGTATAGGAATAATATTTTGAAGGGAAGATGTTAGAGTTAGAGACTGATATTAATGTAGGATTTGATGTAATCTTTGGTCAGATAGTAATTACAAGTATAATGCAACAAACTTCAGCTTTAGGTTGAAGTGTAAGATCAGTTATGATAGCTTTTTATTCTTCTTGTTCTAAATATTTGTCTTGGAAATATGTTAGCTGTAAATTGTTACGTACTCTCTGTTACAGTTTGTTACGTACTAAGTAATTACTATTGGGATACATTACTATTAAGTAAATAGTTACTATATTATTTGCTACATAAAAAGATTTGGTTTGTTTCAGGTGATGAAGAAACAGAAGGTCAACTTTCTAGTTCAGTTACGCGTCTTGCAGCTGAAGGTAAATAGTATTTCATGTGTTGTAATTTGTAATATTTTCATTTAATTTTGGACCTATGCAGTTCTCTTTATCATGTAACATTGGTTATTCTTTTCTCACAAGAGAATTTCTGTTACAGACATTGACCTATATGGATTTTGTCCCGAGAGGGACAACTTTTATACGGTAGTGTGCGAAACTTGCCACGCCATAGTCAAACCACAAGCTCTTATTCAACATATGGGTATGTCACTTTCTCATAATATTCTCTTTCTTAGCATTAGTGTGTACTTATTAAATTAGAATCAGCTTACTCTATGTGCATAAGGGTTTCTCAATTATTCATTTGAAGAATTAATTTTTATTTCATGCATACAATAATGAATCATCCAGAGAATAAAGTTACACAATTCCTAATGCATGCATGCATTGTTGTTGTAAAACTATTACCATAAAACCTCAATTTAATAAACAAAATTCGACGGTCATGTGTCGGTATTATTCAAAAGTATAACTATTCGTTTCTCGTGTTATTATCAAATTGTTAATGCCTTGACAATATATGTATATATTTAAACTAATATGAAAAATGACGAATCAAATGATTTCTTAGATGTAAATAGTCAATGTAAACAGAAACCATATTGTGCTTAAACATGTATAATGTGTTACTTAAAAGTACTATATTATTAAATTTATTTCTTGAAAGTCTTTTAGTTTAAGTAGACTATTACGTATAGGATTTTTATGGAAGATTAGGAAGATCTAGTGGTCATTCCATCTTCTAAATCTGTTCTCTGAATTGAGGTTTTACTGTACAATTTGTTCATTATCACTTTTGAATACTATATTCAATTCTCAATATTCCGAGATACGCATACGCGATTTTATTTATGAAATATGGTGCATATCAATTTTCCTCGAAAGAATCGAAAGAATTGAATTAACGAAAGCAAAATTTGTTTATAATTTATTGATTTATTTAAAAGAATTCAATGCGAAGGCAATCAAATGCAAATAATAGATTTTTCAATGATTATTTACGATGTTAACGACCTCGTTGATGTCGATGATCTTGAAGTATGTTAAAGGGAGATGTACGAGTATATTGAGGAAGTCATAAGAGTAGCTCACCCTTACTTTTTTAAATATAATTATTAGAAGCCTGCCAAATGAAAATTTATTCGAAGTTGGATGAGTAATATCTATTTCTGTGGTCTCTTCGTCGGATAGCTTCCCTCTTTAACACACTTCAAGCGTATCGTTAATCCTCTGTAACTCTTCGTGACTTCAGATTCACGTTACCTCCATAATCAATCTGTATCAATACGTACTAATTGTGATTCGAATCCCATTACGAAATCTTCACCAATATATTATCATCTTAAACTTCTCCTCCAAAATTCAAACACAACCTGGGTTACAGAGGGATTACCTATAAAACAAATATATACAAAAACAACCAGTCTTCCCCTTCCAGTCCGACCCAACCACACAGGCTACCAATTGTAAACATTGCTCGTGTATTCTGTCGCAGAAAGTCGTCATCCTTCCGGCACGGTCAATTTTCCACCTCCCTCTACCCCGATCGTAAAGCCACCCGTGAAAACGCCCTATTGCAAAGTGTCGAAATTGAAAAAGGCGCAGTCGTCGCCGCAGATCCCGACTAGCGTCACCAAGATCAATCACACGAGCGTGAAACGCACCGCGGACCAGCCCACAGTCCCGACGAGCTTGTCGACGACGTCCTTACCGATCGTCACGTCGCCCCGATCACCCCTCGAGTCGTTGCCACCGGTTCAGACCGCGAACACGTCTGGAAACGCGGTTACCTCCAGTCCCGTGAAGAGCCCAGGGACGACGGGTTGCCAGCCTCGCCGGAAGAGGCTCAAAACGGACCGATCGTTGCTCAAGGATCGGGAATACGATCCGGATCGGCATTGCGGGGTCTGGAACGACGAGACCGGGAAACCTTGCACCAGGTCGCTCACCTGCAAGGCGCACACGGTCTCGCTGCGACGGACGGTCCTCGGTCGGAGCAAAACCTTCGACAAGCTCCTCGCGGACCACAGGGCCTCGAAAGAGATCCCGATCAGGCCGACGAAGGTGACCGTAACAGGCACCGTCACCGTATCGTCCGCGACGAACCCTCTGACACCCAACCCCCCCGCCTTGACCGTCGAAACGGAAGCGCCCAGCTCGCCGCCCGTTCTGTCGCTGCCAGACACGTATCCACTGCCAAAGGTAAGGACCAACGTCACGTTCTCTTACTTCTGTCTCTGTTCCATCCTTGGTAGGAGTCCGCAAGTGTATACACACGAGGAGAGGTACCTGGGGGTAGCTCTAAATTGTTAGGAACGAGTTTGGAATACTGGAGACGTTGGTATATGTAGAGTGTTTTCGAAAAGAGTGGATACTATTTGGAGGATCAATTCTTTGCGATAAAATGGACCGAAAAGTATTTTACCGTTTTGAAATCGGGACTTTGGTTAGCGAGATATGGAGAGTTGAAGTTGCTACGCGTTGGGTTTCACTTGCAAGCGCTGCCGCGCGATCAGCTGATTCGGATGGACATGGCGCGCGCGGGAGTCGCCTGGGTACTATTTAATCGCTCGTATCTGGGTAAGGAAGCTTTGCATTGGAAAATGGTAAAGGACTTCTCGGTTCGTTTTTTCACGAGGAATTAATCCTGAAGAAAGATTTTCTATTTATAATATATTGATAATTGTGGGTTAAATGAGAAAGATTCCCTCTGTTTATCTTGGATATAGAACAGCGAGTTTAAAAATCCTGAAGGAGTTTAAAAGGAATGCATCCCACTAATAGAAACTAAATATATATAAATTTTGTATATGTTGATATGAAAGTATCATCGATTTTGATGTCTGCTTTAATTTAGACTACTTCTGAGAAACTTTAAAATATGCGCAATTAAAAGTAGTCTGAATGAGGGATGCATATAAGGTCAGGGAATGCTTACAGTGAAATCAGCTATCTAATTCATGGCCTAACCCACTTAGACCACTTCTTGCGAAGGTAAGCGCTCCATTACTGGAGCCTGGGACCTCGAGCATCTTCCAATCATTCACGTAGTTGATTGCTCAAGAAATTGACACGGGATTGACCCGGTAATCTTCTCATTGAAGAAAACAAAAGTTATCGAACCCTGTGTATAAACAGTACGATCATTATAGCTCAGGTCGTGATTAATGCAACTCGGGAGTAAGGTTAAATAGAGCAGATATTTATATGAATTTCTCTGATTAAAATACCGAGACATCCGTTAGGTGCTCGTGGTATCTGCGATTTTTTGTTTTTAGTCGTTTTGTGATCGATATCGATGGTATGATTAACGCGTTGATCGCCAATTAATTTTATAAATCACTAAGGGACTCGTATTTAATTAATTTAATAGTGGCGTGATACGAAGATCAGGCGTTAAAGAAAATAAATCCGGATGGGATTCGTGAATTTTAATGGTGTTAGAAAAATAAATAACGTTATTAAGCTTCAAATTGTAGCACAATTTTAGCTTCGTATATAATTTCACGTGTTATTTATCAGTATTGCAAGAGCCTAAGTTGAATAAAATATTATTGACAAACCAGTCGATCTTATAATTCGAATGGAATGTAAGGACCTCAATGAAGAATCTAAAACAGCAAATAATGTTAATATCGGTAAAAATTCTGTCTAGGAAAAAATTACGAACGAGTTTACAAGCTGTGCCAAAAAGAATATTGCAGGCACCTTGCCAATAATAAATCTGGTTTTCGATGTAAGCCAGAGCCATACTTGAAGAGATAACCAAAACTTTAATACCACTCTCTGTACCATACGTACCGTTGGCTTCAGTATTTCGAACGCTATGAGCTCGTTAAAAAATTAGATTTACACCACAGGGAGCCCCTCTCGTTAGATGTGATCTCTTGTTTCGCGAATTTTCTCTCGGTGTTTTTTTTTTTTTTTTTCGTTCCTGTCTCTATCCACCCTTTCGCTGCGGGGCGACCCAACTAGGGGACGACGTCACCTGCAGGTCACCGATTTAGGTCGAAGTTAGCGCGTAACTGTACAGTTTCTGAAAATCGAGTTTGAAGTTTCGCATCAGTCGCTGAATATGTGCCGCTGCGGGAGCCTCGCTAACGCGTTGGACTGCTTTTGAGAGTTTAATACTGACAAAGTATATTCTATTTATGCTCATGAATAATTCACGACAACTTTAACTCTTACAAAAGGGTTCCACAAGCGATCAGAGAAAAAATGGAGCAAGCGAAGGATTTTCTATTACAATTATTGGAATATTAGTTAGAATTTTGAAAAATTATAAGAAAGATATGCTTGCGTAAATATTGACTTGGATAACTTATGTATCAATAGAAATGGGTGTTATTCGTATATTTCGTTGTGAACAATTTTCTCTCAGGGAAAGGATAATTATCGCAGTATTAGTTAGAATTATAAAAATGCAACTGTGCAATTGTTCACTTTGATAATTTGTATATTAATAGAAATAGGTGTAATTCATATTTTCCGTCATGAGCAATTTTTTTCCGTTCCTTTTTTAGACATGAAAACACCCTCTTCTCTGAAAAACATTACAACATATTAGTGTAGACGATGCAAAACGTCGAATTTGATTTTTTCTTTTTTTTTTTTCAAAATTTTTCTTCATAGTATTTATTCCTGCAGCTAGAGGGTTAATTACCACTGTATTCGACGACTCTGTAGACGGGCTCTTGCTAATCGGGCGCGCAACTTTCCGCGCCCCGGAAAAGGAAACGAAAGTTTTTCCATCTTTTCTTTCCTTCTGTTTCGGTCAAGGATCTCTCTTTCGCTCTTCAAGATGAAACGTACCGCGACGATCAGACGATACTTAGATCTCTTTCGTAGTTTCCTTTCTTGTGTGTGTTTTTTCTTCTCTTTTTTTTTAATAGTAATGTACATATCGTGACAACGATCATGTGAGGTGATATGCATGGTAATACGATAGTTAGTGCGTACAATTGAAACTTTGGTCTGCAGGCAATCTCCAGTTGCGATTTACGACGTGAATTATTGATAAAATAATTCGATTGCCGAAATAATTTCACTTCGTTCTTTTGTAGACGTTCGCTATTTATTTCGCTGTTGGTATTCATTCCGCTCGTCGATTCGCTAAGCTTTCATTACTCAACGTTATTTACTCAAAATTATCGGATTTCGCTCGGTATTACGGTTCATTTGCTCGAAATATCGATACGCTCTCAGTGGAATATCTGGACGAAATGGTAGTTGTGCATTTCTGAATGATAATAAAAATTGATTTTGGTCGTGTAAGCAACCATCGAATGCAAATACGTTTCACGACAATTTCAGACGCGTCTCGTCGGTTGGACATTATTATTAACCCTCTATTATATTTCATTCTAAAAAAAAAAGCAGAAGAAAAGAAATTCCTTGGTTACATGGATTTATATATTTATGGATTCATTGTTGTATCGGAGGTAAAGCATAAGTGACCGAGTACACAGGGCTGTAAGATGTCTCTCGGAAGACCTCTGGCACAAATTGGATGATCAAACATCAAGAAAATTTGTGGAAATGATCTTTTACTGGCTCTTAATTAAGGAGTTAAATATTGGCAGTAGAGGGTCAATCAAACTCTCCATGGTTGTTGGACATTTGAAACAATTTTCTGGAACGACGAGTTTCTCTAGAATTTTTGAAATGTGTTCTTGAATTGTACAAATTACACCAAGGAAATTTATAGAAATGATTTTTGACCGATATTTAATTAAGGGGAGGTTACCGTTGAGATGCATGAAACGCGCGTAAAGTTCTGGAATTTTTTTTTAATATAAAATAAATACTTTCGGATATAGGTTTCGAAGTAATATATTCTTTTATAATTGGAAGTTAAATTTCAATTTTTGTTATGAAAAAAGAGTCTAAAATGGCGGTTCCAGCTCAGATCAAATGTGTAAATGCACGGCGTCGTTTGCTTTGCGCGGGTGCGCTTCACAGCCTTGATGGTTTATCTGAATCAAAAACGGATTTCGAAATATTAAAGTAGAATAAATTGGAGGGAGTCTTACCGTTTTTCATCTTCTAAAAATTGGTCGTTTCAAAAGAAAAACGAATTTTTCTGTTATTTTTTTCTTCAATGAACTCAACAAAATGTGTAAATCAATTTTTAACAAAAATCGCTTCGTGATGGTTCTCGCAAATTGAATTTCCTTTTAACTGGCGGAAGATTCATGAGAATCGGTTAATTCGCTCTGCGCTTGAAAGAATACTATTTAAAAAAAAAACAGTCACCTGTTTCCTACCTTGCGCTACAAATTTTAAAATACCTTAGATATGAAAATATTCTTTTATCTATGTGTTCTGAACACTTTAAGGATGGAAATTATGTAAAAAAAAAAATCTAATTTTTTATCGTCATGAACGGTAACCTCCCCTTAAAGGGTTCAATTTTACAGTGGGGGGTTGATCAAACCCTCCATTGGGTAATTTGAAACAATCTCTTGTAAAAGCTACCTTGTGTATCCTGAAAATCGACCACAAGAGATAAAATGCGACGATGCGCGTCGCGTGGAATTTTCATTAAAGAATTGCCGAATGTAGCTGGTTCATGTTTCCGTCGAGTCTACGATGGAGGCATCTCGTATACCAGAAAGAGTATCCGGATACCGAATGGATTTTGACACAGTCTACCAGAGATTAGATTTCAAAGACCAACAGGTGGCAGAGTGATCCGTGGCTGCTGCCAGTCAAAATGTAGTCAAGCCATGCTTCGAAGTCGTCGAGTCTCCTCGATCGATTCCCACGACTCTCCCAACTTTCGTAGATCTCTTAATTAGACGAAACCCAGCGCCATTAGACAGAGGAAATAGAGCCTAAGAGGAGGGCCGTTTCGTGGAGAATCGAGCACCCTTTGCGACGATGTTTTCGATTTGGCTGAAACTTGGATATATCGCGATCTTTGGTGGTATTTTAAGTGGCCTCGAAAGATGTTACTAAATTGTATGCCTGAAAAAAAAAATAGGTAGCTTTCCTTCAATGTATTTTGAAGGGACTCTGCATTTTTCAGATGTTTATCATTTATTCTTTCTAGAATTCTATAGCATGGCTGTTAGAAAGTAGTTTGTGGGAACAGGTCACTGAGCCAGTTCGTAGGGTTGTTTCATAAATAGATTTCTTTTTCTAACTTACAATTTATTTCCAATTGTATCATTATATGGATCTTGATTATTATCGTTAATTATCGTTTGTTCCCATATATCAGACAAATTAGAAAGTCGCTACTCGTATGATGTTCCTTAAAAGCATGATTACTTGTTGCCTCCAATTATTCATGAATCAACTCAATACACACAGATCGATTTCTTTTTTATTTCAATAATTAAAATCTGACAAAATTCTCCCTTTTCATATAAAGAAGCTTCGGAGCTTCTTGCTTCAGTAGTAACCATTAATTTCTTATTGCCACAGTAATAATAATAAAAAAACACAAAAATCGACTCAATTCCCAAAGCCTTCTTGCAATCAGAACACTTTAACCTTCCTTCGAGCCACGTTTAACAAGCACCAAAGCCCGCGTATGTCTACTTTCTCCTAAAATCTGAAAAATATTGTCTCGGATGGTGTCGGGTTCGTCACGAGACGTCCCCGCGTAAAAGAAACGACTAGTAAAACGTCGCTGACAACCATGGATCGATCGACCCAGACGAGTCAGCTGCGACGCGTAGCGAGCAAGGAGGGTGTCGGTTGATACCTGTTTTCTGTTTTTGTTATTGCAGGCTGTTGATTTGCTTTATCGGTGTCTGGCCCCGCATGGCTCCACTAAACCTGTAAGGCATGGTTTCTTTTGGGCACTTAAACGCCACCATCTCCTAAGGGCCGTACGATTCTTATTGCGGCTCGCCAACGCTTCTCTTTTTTAGACCAAGCTCGAAGAGGACTTCGCCAACGAGGAGCTGAGGAGCTTGGAGTCGTCGATCGCGAACTCGACCGGTTCGTCCCAGTCCAACTCGATGATGGCGCCTATATCCGTGGTCCTGCCATCGTTGTCGCCTCTGCCAGTCACCAACAACGACGAGGAGGCATCGTCGGTGGCTACCCTGGTACCGAGCACAGGTTCACCGGCGATCCCGGTCGTTCCGGCGACGTTGCCGGCGGCCTGCGCTCAGCCACCGTTGCCCACCAACGTCTTGGAAGCGGAGACGCCCGTGGACATCGATCCCGAGGCTGCGATGACCATCTACTCGCCCGTTTACAAGGACAAGTCGCAGCTGGTGGTGCAATTGCCCCGCACGAACAATATCGCCCATTCGCCCGTGTCCAGGAGTTACCAGGTCCAGGCCTCAATGCCCAGCTTGATATTCGAGCCTATGGAACAGCTCGAGCAAATTGAGCAGCTGGACCAGCCTCACCCGCCACCTCAGATTAACGGGAAGAGACTGAACCACGTCACTCACGCGATGCTCGCCAGCCCCGTGAGCCAACGACAGCCGAAGAGGACCAAACACGACTACCAGCAGGACCTGACCACGGCGATACAGGTCGAGGCGACCACCACGTCCTCGCCTTATCCCCATTTCGGGGACATAGCCTGGTCGAACTGTCACCCGGAGCCACTGGCGGTCAGTCGGTGGCTTCGCATTTCGTCCAGCCGTAAGCAGTACAACTTTAATATTCACTGACATAAGACCCCACCCACTCCAGGCTGAGGACCTCGCGAGGGTGTTTTTCTCTACCTCCTGTCTTTAGTTTCGTCGTTTCGCGAGACACGCCCGGGTCAGGTCCGCAGCTTCTGGAGCAGGGGCATGTCTTGATGTACGGTGATGTCGGTGTGAGCATGCTCAACGACGCCAACCGCGGTCACTATCGCGGTTATTCGAGCTGCGTGTTCGCTGTGACGTTTGAGTCGCGATGCTCTGAGATCGGGGGAGGGATGGTTTCGTTGTCGGTTGCTTTCAGAGTATTTCCTGGTGGAAGGATGCGATTTTGGGGGTTGGTTGACGCGGTTTGGAGGGATAGAGGAGAGTACTGTTGCGAGCACCCTTTGGATGGATCCAAGGGCTGTTGGTGCTCGCGACCGGAACATGAAGACAGCGAGAAGACGGCGATCGATCCGATGTTCCGGTCGCGAGCACCAGCAGGCCTCGGATCCATCCAAAGGGTGCTCGCAACAGTACTTATTTAGAGAAGCGTTTACTTGGATATTCCGTGGAAAATGGTACGTATCTCTTGTATCATTTCGTTTCCACCTTTGAGTGGGTAGAATTTTTAATATCATTGGATCTTGTTACTGGTTCGCGTCGATACTCGGCTTCGTAGGACGGTTTGTTGGACTTGGAATAGATTATTGTAGGGAGAAAGACGGATCAGCGTCAGAGATTAGATTGTATCGCCGAAATTATCATCGGTAAATAGAGTGTCTTATGTCATAAGGTTCTGATAAGGCTAATCTCTCTTTCTTTCTACAATTTCCTTCGTTCTAAAAGAAAGTAGCAACGACCGCTTTATTATTGCATACGTACATACGTGATTGTTTAGGGAACCTCTTCCTACCTTGTGGATGACACGATCCCTCAAGTAAAATTCTTGAAATTCCTCACCCTCGCGCATCAATAAGACCCACCTTCCCTAAACGATCACACAATCAAAATTTGCGTTTTGGTACGTATGCATACGGAGTGTCTCGCAGCTTCGTCAGTTTCGACGGTATCGAGAAGTTCGCCGTCATGACCTAACGTCACGCGAACACTCAGCTTTAGGGATCGTTCTTTGATTAAATATACGTTTCGTTTCGTTTTCTACGCGTCGTCTGCAGCGTTACGTGACGATCTCTCCTACCAGACGACGATGTTTGCATATGTATAGGCCATGGATTTCATACATTTATGACTCATCAGAATATGAAAGTCGTCCAGGGAGTATTGCTTCTTCAGGTAAACAAAACCTTGAAATGATATATTAGGTAGACTGGAAACTAATGTCGTTTCTTTTACATTAAATCCAAACACATTTTTGATAAATTTCTACTTTTAATTAATTATGTAATCGCCCTCGCTATCAACAGCCTCTTGCCATCTAGTGCGCAAATTTTCAATGCCAGATCGATAAAAATTAATGACCTGATGAGTGACAGACAAGTATTTAAAATTGCAAAAACGAAATTACTTTCTAGTACACGTAATATAAGAATGTAATTAGTATGCTTGCAAACATACGGCAAAATATTGTGGTAATTAATGTTATTTGTACAATGTTTTGACTCGTGCTAGAATTTTGTTTCATTCTTATATATATAATTTAAAGATCTTGTTTATCTGGAGAGAGTTGTAGCCCCTTATGAAGGAAACGTGATTTACATGCAATAAGTAACGATAAAAACATTGGAGTTAGCACGATATTAATAATCGTTGACCTACTTCCAGAACGAAGCATCAATATTATTCTATGGAAAATATTGGATGTATTCCACCACACGTTCTGGATGCCATAAATGTCTAAAATCCGCAGTCTAGACGATTCCTGCATCGTGGATCTGGAAAAATGATCTACAACTCCACTACGAGATCGCGGAATCCCCGTTTCCCATTCGGCTATTTCTTTCATTTTTATGACAGCGTGAGAAAGACTGGTTAAACCGCGTGTAACGTTGTAATGAAACATATGGTAACGAAACAATAACAGGTACCTGTGGATCTTCGCGTAGAATTCGACGCGAAACATTCCTCGAAACGCCATCGTTATGTCCCCCCCCCCCCTCCCCCCTCCCCCAGCATCTTGTATCAACGATGCTTCCGATTATTATATTCTCACCGTGTATTAAAGAAAAAAAAAAAATCGAGTGATGCGACAATAGCGACGCTAGGCCCTTTCAGAGTATTATACAGGCAGTAAATTAAGCTTAGGACACCGACTGATATACAATTTACTAAAATGCTTGTCGATAATTATAAATGAATTTTTACTGGTCCTCGGTATCGAGCCACGTGATCTATTTGCGTCGCGATAGACGCGTTCGGAATGATCGAAAATTATAAAGCTAGAGAAGAGTAAGAGTATAATTATACGCGAAAAGATATAGCGGCAGGCAATACTACCAGAGTGAGAAAGAAATTAGAGAATACGCAAGTCAATTTATAAATATACAAAGTTTAACAAGTACGCTTGAAGCAATTCTCTTCTCGCTTCATTTTTATTGAATGAACGTGGAACAAACATCAATTACGAAGAATAGTTGACTTAGAATTATATACACAATTCCACAGCTTTTTCACTCACGTTTCGTAACGCGTTGGGGTAAATCGAACCCTCTCCGTGTTCTAATTTCCTTCTAACGTGCAACTATGATCTTAATATTTACCGGTTTATAATATTCTGTTATTCTGAACCGAATGAAGAAGCCCTGGCTCGAGCCCGAGGAACGTGCCGTCGTTTATTCGATATACAATTTATTTTCCACGGTGGAAGATTTTTACGAATCAACGTTGCCAATGCAAACGTCACCTAAGGTTCTTGGCGTTCAGGTATCGACACCATTTGCATTTCATCGTGCGGTTGGGAACACGGGAAGCTGATCTCGCGCTTGCCGGATAGGTCGAGGTTCTTCGTCGACGAGGGACGATTAATTTAAAAGAAAACAAATATATATATATATAAACGGAATAACGACATCGAATTTTGGGTATTAACAGGCGCGCAAAGGACGTAGCGGAGATAATGATTCTCGCGGATCACGCGAGACGACCAGTGTTAAGGAATTCGTGTACAGAACGTTTCGGGGATAATTGTAGTAGAGTTAGCTAAGTAGCTGATTTCGGAAACGCCGCCGGGCGACAGGCATTTTGCGAGCACCACGGGTTTCTTTTTTTTTTGTAAATAAACGCCGTCGTCTTTGTAAATACGTATCCGACGAGTAGCGACCGAAGTGAAAAAGATACGAAGAGATAGGAAAGGAAGAGGAAAGGAAAAGTCTCGCGCATAGAAAACTTCGATGAACTTATTTTCCACGATTCGGTCCGCGAACGGAGGGTCTCGCCTGTACATACATATATCATAGTACATATATATATATATATATATTTTTTTTATCAATCACGATCTCTTCAATATTTTTACGTATACATACATATATACATAACCACGACCTCCATACCGTCGTTGCCCCGTTGCTTTTGCGTCGATTCTCCGCTTCTGTTCGCGCTTAGAGTTGTATTAGGATCGCGACACCTGGACTTTGTCGCTCTTGGCTGACAGAAGCACGATGCTGCTGTAGAAACATAATATATTATAATGGAATATAATGTTTGTTATACGAGGGAATGTTAGTTGAACTTAGGAAGTTGTATTTGTTGCTACTCTTCGAGTTCTTTGACTTCAGAGAGGAACCTCTTGCGTTAAAAACCTACTGATTCGTGTTTGAGATAGCTTGGATCATTCTCAGCGGACTTTCGGTAGAGTAACGATTTATGTGAAAATATTTTAAGAGTTACTCCCGGATTTATAGTTTGAAACATTGTCACTGGACCTTGGATAGAGTTTCATCATTTTTTTGAAATATTTCTCAAACTATACTCTGACTTTAGAGAGGAACCTCTTGCGTTGAAACCACTCAAAACCTACCAGTCCTCGTTTGAAATATCTTTAAACATTGTCGATGAATCTTAGGTAGAGCAACAGAAATTTTTGGATTTCGTCCTGAGTCTTAGATGGAATCACATAATTTTCTAGACGTCATCCTGAGTCGCCACAGCAAGCGTCCAATTTTTCTAAACCCAAGTACCTTGTCTCTCCAAGCCGAGAGTGATCAAGCCCGGGCGATCGTTTATCATCGACAAGCTTTTTCCGCCAAAATCGTTCGCTTCGGTTCTCCCGTACACGTTAGGAATGGAAAATTGTGTTCTATTTCGGCGAGTTGCGCGCGCAACCGGATCTCCCCCGTAGTTAGCCGGAGTAATTTTGAAATTGTCGGAGATTCGTTCGCGGAGACGCGGCGTGCGACATTAGCGAGCCATAATTGTCCCGATATGTATACTAGCTACCGCGAAACGCACGCGTACACACCCGAGACGATTATTTATTTTTGTAACTGTGTCGGTTCTAATTTGCGTCGCGCGTCTGTTTTTCCAGCGTGGCGCGACAGTTGGCATATATATATACATACATATATACATACATGCATACATAAACAAGGACTTCTTATCATAGATTGTGATATTTAATTAATTAGTGATTAGCAAAGGATAATTCTAAATCGTGCGTTAGTGAGAATCGTAGGGCGGCCAAAAAAACCACACAACTCGGGAAACCTTCGATTCCAGAGATTTTTGAAGCGAACACAGGAGCAAATGTATAAAAAGAAAAAAGAGTAACGATAGTGAAATCATGAACGCTTAGTTTGGCCGCAAATTTTACCCCCTCTCGCGCGTAGGAAAATTTGCTGTGTATCGTGTTCGTAGCGTTCAGAGTATATTCGATGATTTCCGGTTCTCGCGTAAGTGCCGATTCGCAAAATTGTTTCGTTTGTATCGATGGAAACGACAAAGAAGATGGGAGGGAATATATGAACGGTAGGGTATACGAATAGTGAAAGAAGAATGGCTAGGAAAAAAAAGAATAAATTAGAGAAGGGTAGGAGATCGACGAGGGGACGTTCGGTTTTCGTTCTAATCGATAATAGATAATAGATAACGATACGCTAGGAATATTATTAACCGCTATCTCGAGACGAAAACCTCGCGTCGTGTCGGTCCGACATCGACCACGGAATCGAGCGAGTCGACGACCGATCGGTGGACCCTCGAACCAGAGACGACGTGAATTTTATTAGAATAATGGAAGATTTATGAAGGAATGTCCTTTAAGCCAAACTTGGGTAGACTTGGATAGATCGCGGTAATAGGATGTTGTATTTGTTGTTTTCCGTCTGACCTAACTCCACCCATGAAAAAGGAGCTTGGTTTGCATTGCTAATCGGCATCAGGGCTTGCCTTGGATGAGAAATATACGTGACTGGTTTGTTTTATTGACCTCAATCTAAATTTATTCCAAATCTAAGTACAGTAACGCATCCTAGTTTCTATTTGTAATATTCTGCGAAAATTGTACAATCTTCAAGGAATCCTTTAGGATTTTTTTATTTCTTAGAGAATCCTTCCCACAGAAAGTTGACTTAATAACAAACCGTGCAAGTTATTATCAGTGCCTCTGCCACAGTTTGATACCTCGTATAAATAGTTTACTTTTTACCAAAAAATAAAAACAACGTAGACTTCCTCCTAATTTCCATAAAGTAATTTGCAACAGTTCATCCTCGAGCAACAAGAAGTCTCGACTTGTCTATCTTTTATTCATTATTCAGAATTTCTCCCGTCTCTGGGCTCGACCGCCGTGCGCACCCCCTCGCTTTCATCGACCGCATAAACGACTACTTCGCCTTACGATTCTAGCCATAAATTATCGCTTTAAGGATATATATATATATATATCAGCGACCATAGAAACCAATTAATGCCTCCATCGATCGGCCGTTGTATCGTTGCGAGGAGACGCAGCGAAGATTGAATTGACACTCGGAACAGAGTTGTGTTCGAATCTATGCGGATGGATCCAGTAAACGTGTAATATTATAGAGGTATTGCACTATCTATAATATCTCTATGTGTAACGCACGTTGTTCCAAGTCTCGTTATTCAATCATCGAGGCGCGCGGAGCCAGGCTCACTTCGGACCAACACGACTGGAGCGTTTCCGGCGTAACTAATTCTCGGCTACCTGAAACCGTGATAATTTGTACATAAATCGCGTAAGCAATTACCCACGTACCTACGGTATCGATGAATTCTATATAGGTATATATTATATATATACACACACACGTGAATATATTGAGAGATTGAAAGAGGAAGATTTA